GCTGTAACCAGGGGATAAAAATCAAACTACAAATGATTTGAAGTGATTTTCTCTTTAAGAAAAAATACATTTTCCTTCTAATTACAGTAATGACATGGATAGATAGCTGATCAGTGTTGGTCTTGACCGGTCTTGAATTAAAATCCGAAGTCCGCCCTGTCTGAGACCGAGACAAGGCCGAGTAAAAATGCTCACGATTCCGAGACGAGTCCGAGACCTTCAAAAAGACTATTGCAATACTACCTAGCGGTTATGTCGGGCGCCACATGTACAGAGGCTGTAGTCCTCATTGCAGCGGCCCTGGGTTCAATTCCAAACTCGGCCCTTTGCTGCATGTCGTCCCCCACTCTCTCTTCCCAACATTTCCTGTCTCTCTTCAGTTGTCCTCTATAGTAATAAAAAAGGCAAAAAGGCCAATAAATATAAAAGAAAGAAAAAAAACCTCTTTGTACCCTGCTACAGAGATGGTGTGCAAGTGCCCACTATTCTACTTTTGTTTTGATGTAATTGCTTGGAGTTTCTTTATAATATTAAAAGATTATTTGCACATTTTTAATCCCCTTTCGACACCTGCATGATGATTTTAACTGGTATCAAAGTCTGTCTAGTTAAAGTCCACAACACAATGTGATGCAATCTTTATCAGTGGATAAGAGACAATACTGTGATATTGGGTCTGTAGTGATGCATGAGACCGAAAACAGAGACTTTGTCGTGGCCTCTGGAATAAGACCTGAACTGTTCCACTGAGAGAAGTGAGACAGTCTGAGACGGCAGGACACCTGAGCTCCAGTTAGTCAGACAGACGGACAGACAGAAATCGACAGGAAGGGAGATAAATGCTGCTGCCTAATTAGCTTTGTCTTCATTAAATCTGCTAATAATGTCAGTGGAGACAGCTCTGGTCCACCTGCCACTACACCTCCCAGACACTCTGTGGTTTATTCTCACTGTCAGCACAAACGCTCTCGAAGAACAGGCCTCCAGTTTGTAGAAGAAGAATCAGCACACCTTAGGACTTTAAGTCTCTTACCTGCCTGCTGAATAATTCATTAGTATGCTACTTTAATTGGGATACAGTGACGGAAAAGATTGTATGTCATGTAAGAGGGATTGTTAATTTTGCTGAAATCGCCCAAAAAATGAGACCCTGTTAGCTCTTTTTTTAACGTTCTAGCTTCTGTTAGCAAGTTTTCTTCCTTGAATAGCTTAATTTCTGTCTCATCAAACACTTGAAGCAGCTGTGTTGAGCATTAATGCAAAGTTATTCTGTGGACTCAGCTGAATGTATTCAATAGCATGCCAAAAATAATTATACAAAAATGCATTTTCTGATCATAATGGTAGCTGAGTCGTAGAGGTGCATACTGAACAATCAAAACACCTTCTGTATTGTTTTGGCCATCAACCTTTGTTGCTTCTCCTCTGCCCAACTTTCATGGCTGCATCTTCCCATCCAGTCTTAAACTATGGTAAAATAAAGCCTTTAAAAAGCCACTCTGTACACACAAAACTACTGGTTTATCAATTCCTACACTCATCTCACGGTCAATATGATTAGACTACATTTTGATGTCAGCACTTTTAGTCCATTTAACGCCTAAATACAGTCTCCATATCTCTGTGTTGACGTACAGGATGATAGCACAGGTTCATTGAAAAGCTGGAGCAGAAACTGTTAGAGTTGGAGTTAGCAAAGGTTTGTTGCATTAAAATTACAACATTCTGTATTACAAGTTTCCTGTAATGTAACAGTTCTGAACTGTTCCCCTGCTCCTGTAGTCTCAAGTTTGTGAAAATGAAAGAATTCATAACTGCATGTTTTTTTGCCTTTAATCTTAATATGCAGGCAATTAAGCACCTAATAGAAAGGATTTGATGATTCACCAGAGCCAAACAGACACTAAAAACATGAATTAGCAGGCCGGCAGGGAGGAAAGCTGCAGAAGAGAGATGAGAGGGGCGCGGTCTCCCCTGTGGGAGATCTGATCACATCCACAGCTCGATTTTTTTTTGTGTTTCCACAGAATCAAGCAAGCATTAGTGTTCCCTCAAAGTCTATCACGCGCTACCAGGAAGGCTCAGCTTCAGCTCCAACTTTACAGCTGCTAATCCTTGCTCTTCCCTCTGACTTATTTGATACGCACGATGCTTCTCTGCAGGTAAACGTGTTAATCTGTCGGAGGAGAGCTGCTGTGAACACACTGCTGGAGCAGAAAACTACACTTGATCTTTAAGCCTGCAGCCTCTCAGTGCTTCCTCTAAGCAATAAAAGCTGACTATTACACCCATAAAGCATGGCGTCAGAGAGAATGATGTTGTTGTTGGTCATAATCTTCCACTGTAATATCCACCCGACAGAAGCTGAAGCTCATAACTGATATGAATTCATACCGCAGATGCACTTTTTCTCTCTCTTTGCAGAATCTTTATTTTTTGCTTGCCGATGATTCTGCACATTATTATAAAGTAATAAACAAGCTAAACACATTGCAATGAGTGTGAAACATTTTTCTGTTTGTGTTTGCGTTGAGTAATCTTGTCACAGCGTCGTTTCTACCCTCAGCCTCTTAAAAAGCTCATTATGGTGGCCGAGCACTGACGCAACAGTAACAGAGGGATGGAGACGGCTAATGGATGTCTCACAGATGGAGAGAGACTGTTTTCTGCACATGAGTCAATGCATTTCTCTGGGCTTTGTCTGGAGTTCTGAAAATGCTGATTTAATGATTAGCATTTGTACTTTTCCACAGTAGTGGAGCTGACTAAACTCTGCACTCTTCAGCGGAAGCCATTAGTTTAAGGTTTATGCTGCTGTGTAGATAAATGAATAAATACCTAATTTAATCATTAAAAAAACCCCGAGCTAGAACAGCCTCGCCTTAATGTTTCATGGCATTAGCTGAGTCATGATTGCAGAACTATTAATTGCTCTTTTTAAAATGTTTTTTAAGCTTCCTGCTCATGTACCCGCAAAACTCTGCCAGGTGAAGTTCTCTGATGCTTTTCTCACAACGTCATGTACTTACGCATTTCCGTCCGCCCAAGGAGGGTTGCCGAACAATGACAGAGGCGGCGCCAGAATTAAACCCTCATCTACAAAGAGAACACATGTTGAAAGAACATGACGGAAAGCAGTGTAACTGTGGATAATGAGGAAAGTCATTTTAATACTGTAATGTTGGAGTCAGACATTTGGGGCTGCTTAGTAAAGCCAGAAGACAGTGCGGAGGAATTCAGGCTCATGGAGAAGCAAGAAGCACCGCAGCGAAAGGTGAAGCAACGCCAGCCGCTGGCAAGAGAGGAGAAGAGCCTTGGAAGGCAACGAGCCCGGTGCATTCTGGATGTTTAAGTATTTGAACTCCTTGGGCAGAAGTGAATGGCACTGCCTTTTTTTTTCGCCTCTGGCTTGCATCGATTTAAAGAGAAAAAAAACGGCTGATTTTATGACTAAGTCTATCTCCAAGTTTTGGAGATAGACTGCAAGTTTTTGTTGGACCTGAAAACTTGTATTTGACTTGATTGTAGTGCCTTGTGTAAGACTTGTCACTTGACTTCTTTGGAATATGGTTCCTCTAATATAAGTCACGATAAAGTTTGTATTTTTGAAGAGGTTTCATTTTTCTTTTGCATTTCTTGCACTTCAATTATTCTTGTGCATTCTCTTCAATGAAGAGACTTGAATCTTGAACCTTGAACCTTGAAAGTCCTGTTAGTCTCACTCTTAGTTACTTTCTGTTGTCAGGAATTATCCAGTTTCACTTTTACAACCCACTATTTTTCCTTCTAAAACTATTTTTTCTGCTGCAGTGAACCAATTTCCCCTCACAGAGATCATTAAACTTTATATGATCTTCTCTTAAGCTGTAATGAGCGGACACTGGAGTCCCTGCAGTGTAAAGGGCACGCTGACGGAGCAGCTGCACACAGGTTACACTACCTCCAACCCTTTAAATATTTAAAGATGTTGGAGGCGGCCAACAATTCTGAAAATCACATTTCAGGTGACTGTGTCATTTCTGATGTAATAAGCGGCCATCATGTCTCCCCTACAACAAGAGAACCAGAGGAAAGTGTTCACTAATGACATTATGTGCACCCACAAGTCTGTTAGCAAAACTTTGAGAAAGCTGGAGGCGGAATGACGAGATGAGTCGCAGCAACGTGTTGACATTTCGATACAGAGAACTGTGCAGCTTGTGAATTCACATAATGGTCCTTTATTCTCTTCTTTTGAGCTCATTTGTACCGATCACACATTTCAAACTGTACACATTGTTTGCTGTCCAACAAACATTTTGGTTCAGATGATGAGAAAATTGACAAAGGCTGAACATGACAAGCTGTTGATACACTAAACCTCACAACGAGCCATTTTATGTGTCCAATGTTCACATGAGATTTCCCAAATGCAGAAACACACCCAAAACAACCTAGAAGTTAAGATCAGTGACCAAATTAGCAGAGGTGAACCAACCGTGGCCCTATATGCAGAACTGTTAGTATAAATATATAAGTCTGATCAAATGTTTAAGAAAATGTACTCGAATGAAAGTTGTCATGAATAAAAGAAGAGCTACAGATACCAAAAAAGTTTGTTTTGAACGGGACTCAACATGTGTATTTCTGCTTAAGAAGTTGGACATTTTAATCTGGGACTTTATAGTGACTCAGCCTCAAGTGGCCACTCGAGGAACTGCAGTTTTTAGATCTTAAACATTCATGATACAGTGAATTTAGTTGATGTTTTGCTGTTTGTTGAGCTTTGCATCCTTTAGTAGAAACCATAGAGTATGAAATTCATTTTTTTTATACATGTAAGATGTTTACATCTATTCCCCCCATATTTTCATTTTGTTAATAATATCTCATACTGGCTTCTTTCCTGCTGTGGAAATGTAGTTTCTCTCTTGTTCTTCTCTATGCCATCCCTTCATTCCTTTCGCCACCTCTCCTCCCTCGTCAGTAGTAACTCCTGTCATCCTCCTCTCTCTCTCCAGCTGCCATCGAGGCCTGCTTGGGTCACCTGTTGAAGAGACGGGCCGCTGGTTTCCTCCGCAGCGACAAGATCGCAGCCCTCTTCACCAAAGTGGGCAAAGTCTACGAGACGGCCGGAGAGATTTGTCGTAAAGTGCAGGAGCAGCTCCAGCAGCAGGCAGACCTCACCAGGTTGGTGACAGAGTTCTTCCCTCCCTTTTGACAATCACTACAAACACCAGGGACATAAACTGTAACTAAAAGAAAACTGGAGTTGAATTGATACTAATTGAGTGAAACTGCCAATTAAATAAGAAAGAAAGAGTCTCCATTACAGGCAACTTTTGTATTGAGGATCATAACTTTTCATAAGTTTGTGAATCGAGTCAGAAAAATTACAAAATTCAAATCTAAGGAAGTGTATTTTGTAAATAAAAAATATTTTATCACACTAATTATTTAGGCCAAATTCAACTGGCAAGTCCAGATAAACCAAATTGCTTTTGATAAGTAAAACTTACTTACAACTTACTGATTTCGACACAGTAATCTCATTTCAAGAAACTCAACAATTAATTTTAGCTTGTAACGTTTTACTTATCGTAAGCAAATTTCATGCCTCTTGTGCTTTGAATATCTTACCATAAGACTTCTCTGGCCAATGAGGCATACATTAAATGCAATGAGATATTTTTGACCAAAAACGAGACATTTACTCTTGCTTAGATTTGAGTTTTTTGTAGTAACTGCACGGTACCAGGTCCTTTGAACCTTGTCAAACTAAAAGTGCAGCCATTATGATCATGATATAATAAACAGCACACAAGAATATCCTGCAATGACAAGCCCAAATTATGGGATATGAACCAGACCTATACCCTACAAGGAAGTTGCTGTATTCATTTTCTATGCCGAGAGGTAAAGCAACACAATCTCCATAACTTCCTGAATAAGGGCCGATCCAAAGAGTAGACGAAAAAACCTGATCTAATCTTGGTTCTTTTTTGCTGATCCGTGCATACGTCCATTTGCACATAGTATTGACAAAAACTGTCATCCCAGTGGTAGACTCAGTCCCTTCGTCCATCTTGGATTACTGCAGCGTCTTTTTTTATTTAATAAGCACTTATCATTTTGCCTAAGTTTAGAATTTATCAACATGTTGATTTAGACATTTATATAACTTACTGATTTCTTTTATTTTCAGCCATCTGTACTTATAGGCACCTATAATTGCATAAAACTATGGATACACTCACTCAGACTCAGCTGAGTGTTTACCAAACCTGAGCAATCTGTGTTCACACTGTGACAAACCTTTGGACTGTGTCTGGGTGTGTGTGTGTGTGTGTGTGTGTGTGTGTGTGTGTGTGTGTGTGTGTGTGTGTGTGTGTATTTGTGCGTGTGTGTGTGTGTGCAGGATGATGAACTGCTTTATCTGCAGGCACTTTGGTACTGGCAAAGCAGTTGGCAAGCCCATTAATTGTCCATTAGCCCGAGCCACATGACTACCACGTCTCTCAAGGGCTGCAGAGAGCCGCTTCCAAATGGAGAAAAAAGCTTTGTGCAACAGGCACACACACACACACACACACACACACACACACACACACGACATGTAAACAAGTCTTCAAAGAGGATGCACTAAAACTAGACACAACATGTATCGTCTTTGCAACATGGCATTATGCAATGTGAATCAACTATCTGTCTTCATATCAGCTGCTTCCTCTTGTTCATCCGTCACATCTCATTGGCCTTTATTTCCCCAGGTACACGCCGCACAAACAACATTACAACCCTTTGTTGTGTATGGATCGCCTCCTTGGCAAACCCAACCACCACAACGCATACATGCACACAAACACACAAACACACACACACACACACACATTGACACAGGCATGTTCCCAACCTCTACAGTTACATCTCTCATTTACCCTGGTTGTCATAGCAACATGGCGTGTGCCAGTGGCAAGGCAAGGAGAGAGAGAGAGAGAGAGAGAGAGAGAGAGAGAGAGAGAGAGAGAGAGAGAGAGAGAGAGAGAGAGAGAGAGAGAGAGAGAGAGAGAGAGAGAGAGAGAGAGAGAGAGAGAGAGAGAGAGAGAGAGAGAGAGAGAGAGAGAGAGAGAGAGAGAGAGAGAGAGGAGTTACACAGTGAAGTGAATGGTAATTACTCAGTGTGTGTGTGTGCGTGCGTGTTTTCCCAGTGGCAATTGCCAATGGCTGCTGGTGGACACAATGCTATAGATCCTTGTCTCCTTGTGATGTATGCCATGTATTAGCTTTTTACGTTTCTTTTTTCAACCTGTTCTTTTCCTCCCTCCGTTCATCTCCTCTTCCTGAAACACGGGCTTCAGAGCAGAAGTAGCATATCATCTGCATTCATTTCCTCTCCTGCGATGCTAGCAGCGAGACCTGCTGAGACGACCGCTCTTAATAACAACGAGGGGATAATTCCACTTTATTAAATGGGGGTTTCATTTACAAATGTTTTTTTTATAGTATATTTTGGATCTATGATTCAGGAACAACAGAAACATTAACAGCTATAAAACCAGGTCATTTATTATTATATTATATACAGTATATACATTTTTACCAAATTTTCTCCAAATATATTTTGTTGTGTACTACAAGGCTCTGTTCTGGTGCTAAAATTAAGTGGTAATTTCTTCCATCTTTGGAACATTTAAACTATCTCCAAGTCACAGGACCTGTGCTAAGCTGTCATCCAAATGACTTCCATCAGACGTCTCTGCACTAAACAACATTTTGTGAGTGCTTCATTTATGATTCACCAAATAAATCGACATCTGGATATCTCGTTTACAATTTGCAACTGCTTGTTCTTGTCAAACGATGACCTCAGTTAAAGCCATCATGTCATGCTTACCAGATCTTTTTAATGACCTTGCAAAGTCATAGAAAGTTATAGAAATCATGTTTAAAGCAAAGCGGAAGGAAACCAAAACTTGTAGTTGCTATTAACCTGTATTTCTCCTGTTCACACAACAGGTAGAAAACTGATGTTACACCTGGTTAATTATTAGCTAGTTAATCACATTGTACTGTAGTTGACTTTCACCTGAAGTCAAACTATATTTAATGCGGTAGTATGCCTCCAACTTGTTAAATCATGAAAGACTTTGTAAAGTTCAAACACAGAGCTAGCATACCTTCTTTTAAACAGACTGTACATCTATCAAATGTCAGTCTCCCTCCATAAGAACAGATGTAATCATCATGAAGCCCTGTACAAGAAGGGAAAATCAAAATCTAGATGCCTATTAATTCACTCTGACATATTCTTTTTCTCATTCATATTCATTTGTCAGCTCCAAATGTAAGCTGGTAGTAATCATTGTAATCAATCCAATTGACTACATGTTGACATTTGTTGACATTTTAGAATTCATTAAGAGCCATGGCAGAGCTCAAAGTTGGGAAGAAGAGGCGACACGCTGAAGGAAAATATGTTTTCAATGAGGAGGTTGAGGTATCGAGTATAAATTCACACTAAGCTATCCTGGTGGATTAGTAATACAAATACAAACCAGGTGCAGGCGCCTACTAAACCTTATGCCCCTTTACACTGTCCTAACAGACACCAAGGTACACCTTTCCTGTACTGCTGATCTACAGCACCCAGTGCAATCATGCATATTCAAAAGTATTTAATTACAATACAATAATTGGTTGTGTCTTTATGGATTCAGTACATAGAGAATAATAAATAAATAACTCTCATAAATGATATCAAGCTTTTCTCATGCATTTAAAACTTTGAAAAAGGACTCTTAAAAAGTGGCATTTTGATTGCTTGGTTCTATTTAAGGGTTTTCCTGTCAGAATAAATGTCATGGGGTCATTAATGTCAAAGTAGTTTATCCTTATGGGAGCATGATTCTGTTCAGCAAATGTCAGAGAAGTCTGACTGTCCGTATGATAATAAGATGTCTTGTTTGCTCAGCTGACATTTGACCAGAAGGCGCAGAAGTTCAGCTCAGGACAACGAGCACACTGATGGTATCATCCTCTTCTGGTCCTGTTGGTAGAAAAGAAATCAAAGTCACAAAAGTTACAGGAGTTAAAGTTTGAATCAAGTGGTAACCTCTGGTTTTCAAAAACAATGGAAGTGCAAGACACTGCAGTTCCCCAAGTGTCCACTTGAGGTCCAAAGTGAGTCAATGCCTCTTAGGTCCCATATTAAAATGTCCAACTTTACAGCAGAAATACGAATATTTACTGGCTGGTTAAAAATGAATTTGGTCTGAATAGGTAATTTTTTATTCATACAAGCTATGGGGGTGCTGTGTTAGGTGAGTGTATTAAGAATATGAGTTGTGCAAAATTACTCCTCTTTTAAGCAGAAGGCTTAAGGCCCTCCTCAACTCCACCTATTTGCCTGTTTCTAGATTGATCAAAAGTTAAGTAGAGATAGCATTTCAGATATAGTGACTGCCATCGTTGGGCTTCCTAATGCCTCTTCAGAAACCGATGGGTGACGTCACTGTCATTACTTCCCGGTTTTATACCGTCTCTGATGTGAACATAAAACATTAAATTAGTATAGAAGACAAGATGCTTTTATATTCTGTCACTGCTTCACCCAGCAGGCTTTCTTCTCTTTGCATTGTATCACTCTGTCATCATCCTGATTCTCTACCAACCCCTAGGAGGACTGTGAAAGTCGTGACTTAGCCAAAACTCCCCTCTCCCCTCTCACACACACACACACACACACACACACACACACACACACACACAGCTCACATAATATAAATTCATGCTGAGGGATTTCTAGCATCGTGACTGTCCCCTCCTCAGCAGACACACACAAACACACACACACACACACACTTATTAGCTTGTTGAAGTGTATGTGAATGGTTTTGTCTGATTTCTGCAGAAGTGTCGGAGATCAAACTGAGTCCGGGATGAAAGTGCTCATCTCTTCATCCTCACATCGTGAATGTGCCTCCATATTCCTGAAACACTCGAGCTGTCTGATGTGGAACATAAAATAGCTCCTTTTGTTTGACACAGTGAGGATTCAAAAGAAACCTAGCAGCGATCAGCTCTGATTAATGAGGATGAGTTTTAATGAATGAGTGTATTTAACATGTCATTACGCTGTTAAGTGCTGCCTCCTCATGGTGAAATTCACTTTCTATTTGCATCCGTTTGCCTTTACATTGCTTTGAGTGTACATAACTACAATATACGTACAAGTCTCTGCAGAATTACTGTTGCAACTTGTTGCAGGTTTGGGGAATGACACTTCACACGAAAGCCCTTTTTTACACATGCACTCCTGGAAATGTCTAGATCTAATTGGTCACGCAGCGGACGCTGTGCGGTTATTACCCCGCTCACTCACTCATGATGAATTTTGATGATTTTGATGATTTAATTTTGGGCTTTTGTGCTGTTATTGAAGAGACAGGAGAGTGTATAGAGTCAGGTATAAGTGAGAGAGAGAGGGAAAGGAGCCACAGGTTGGATTTAAACCCAGGCAGCCCGCTTCAGGGACTACAGCCTCTGTACATGGGGTGAGATTTAACCACTAGGTCACCGCAAGCGCATCAAAAATGCACTTTAGCTGTAAATCATTCATTTAAAAATCAGTTATTACTGAAGTCTTGGGTGTTGTTTCTCAACACCAACTCCTTTCTTGCGTCTCAAGTTACTCATCAGTACTGAATTCATTTACCACTGACCGCTGGCTCCCCTGTAAGCCCTGAAAGGTTGCCCATTGCTCCTAAAGGCAGATATCAACTGTAGACAAAAGTTAATGGGGATTGCACTGGAACAAATAACAGTGTTACATTTTTGGCCCCAGTTTGTTTGACGTTGATTTGCCAGTGTTCCCAACCCTCTGCTGCTGGCTAATGCAGGGCACACATCACAAGATAATCAGGCTTCAACTGCGGCTGGAACCCCGCCATTTTGTACGCAGAATAATAAAAAGGACAGCCCCTCAATTGTGTCATTAATGTGTGTTTGGACCTTAGAGACAGAAAACGCTGTATTCTGGCAGAGATGACACAATGCAGTCTTAATTATGTCATCATCATCATCATCATCAACCTTTATTTAAGTTCTCAGAGAGATCATTGAGGGCGACCCTCATTTACAATGATGCCGAGAAAACATACATAAATGATGAACAACGAGAAATGAGATTAAGCTACTACAGAAAATAAAATCAATAAAAGAGCAATAAGAACAATAAAATATATACACTCAAATAATTTAAAAGCTTGAAATTACTACAATGATAAGTCAGTAATTAAAATAAAATAAAACAGTTACAGTCAGGTATTGGGCGGTTAAAAATAATATTTCTAAAGTGTCCATAAGGGATAAAAGTGCTCAAATTCAGGTCCTGTTGTAAAATGTTCCAGGAGTTTGCAGCACTAACACTAAAAGCAGTTTTCCCCAGGTCAGTCCTGGCCTGAGGAACCTGGAGAACCAGCCTCTCTCTCTCTCTCTCTCTCTCTCTCTCTCGAGCGGGTTAAAAATGGACCAGGTTCAGATGTAACAAGGAGGTGATATATGATGGAAGCTTTCCAGTAAGGGCTTTATAGATGAAAGGTAAGGTTTAATGTGTGGTTTAAAATAGAGAGTGATGGCGGAGCTGTTGCATTTAGTGTGTCGCTCTGAACCACAGACTTCAGTTTTGTCCTGGTTATGCAGTGAACAATGAACCTGCCAGCTGTTACTTTGTGTCTACAATGATGGCAAAAAAAGGTTTATGGTAAGCACTCCTTGTTTGAAAGTGAATTTATAATTATTAATGTTATCACTGTGCTTTATGTCCTCCAGGAGAACCCAGAGTGTGAGCCACGAGCCCCTGAGGAGACAGGGCTCGTCCACCACCTGCCGCCCCCCTCAGCCGCTCTCTGCCCAGGCCATCAAACACATCTGGGTCCGCACGGCTCTGTTCGAGAAAGTTCTGGACAAGATAGTGCAGTACATCGTGGACAACTCCAGGTGATGTGTTTTCAGTGACTCACGACTCCTCTCTGCAGGCTCTGAGTGTTTCAGCTGGGTGATGAGCAGCCCGTTGAATCACCTGTTTTTTGGTGTTTCTGTTCTGCTTCTGTGCTCGCTGTCTGGCTGCTTTGTTCTGGAAAAACAGCACGGTGTCCGTGTGTTCGCTGCGTCACACACAATGAAATGATCCACTCATGCCACTTCTGATCAGAGATTCTCATATGAAGGGGGGGGGGGGGGGGTGGTCAACAGGGTTCACAGACACACAGCAATGTGACTCACTCTCTTTAGAGACATAAGCATCCAGCTGGAGTGGTGCTGGGTCAGGTTGTGTAGTTTTTTGTTATTTTGTTTTGTTAGGATACGGCCGGCAATCCGTCGTATCATTCTGTCAGGCTCTACAATCCAGAAAAATCTGCACAGAATTGCAATAATGTTTGCAGTACCACAGAATGACACTCAGCAAACATTTGCATAGTTGTGTACCGGACAGACCGGCAGGAGGAGAAGCGCACCAGCTCACTCTCTCCCTAACAAACCTGGATTTGGCCGGTGTGCAGTGAATACTGGAACACACTGTCTCACAATGAATCAACTTTAGCTCACATGCCACCTTTTTTCCCAGAAATAAACTATATTTCTCCGCAGGTCCTTATGATCAAAACAACAGAAGGTCATTAATCATGTCTAAGTGAGGGTTCTAGTGTGTTTATGCCCAGCACAGATGTGTTGTGTTGTTATTTTTTTAAGTTAATTTTTGGCCCTTTTTCCCTTTATTGGATCTGACAGCTGACGAGAGTCATGATGTCACAAGACCTCTCTTGAAATGTAGGAAAGAGAGAGTAAGGGATTACCTGCAGCGACCTCCCTGGCCCGAGGTTTGATTGGACCATAGCCTCTGTACATGCGGTGCGCAACGTAACCGCTAGGCTCCCAGTGCCACATGTTTTGTATTTTTATCCAAGTTTTAGAGAAAACGATCTGTCTAAATGTTGCTCAGTGACTGTATTGACTCGATGCTTTTTGGACTTGATTGATACCTGATTGTGAAATAAGGCTGTGCCTGTGGTTGACAATGGTGAGCAGTGGACTTGAATGTAGGCGGGAGATCGACTCCAACTCAACTGCACTGCTCAATGATATATATATATATATATATATATATATATATAGAGGATAGGATAGGATAGGATAATACTTTATTGATCCCCAGAGGGGAAAGTCGGGCATTGCAGCAGAGAAGGAAGTAATACAAAATACACAGGATAGATAAGGTAAATACAGATAGAAACAACAATACGATGTATATACAAGAGAATATAAATATAAATATATAGATGGATGGATGGATGGAGAGATATATAGATAGATAGATAGATAAAGTGTGATGACATGATACTTTCTTTCACCTTACATAAATAGCCCAGCAGGACTCCTCATTAGAAACAGCTGACATTTAATAATCCTTTGACTCACTGTTTCTCTCTGTCTTTATCCGTGCAGTAAATACTACGAGAGGGAAGCACTGATGCATGACTCAGTGTTCGGGCCAATCCTGGCAGCCCTGCTGGGTGAGTATTTTACACTGCCAACATCTCCACAACAAATGTGCTGATATTCTTGTAAAAAAATGAACCATCAGGTGCATAAACTTTGCACTTGCTTCAGGAATTGCCCTCATGAAAATGACCTCAAATGCAACCACTCTTAGAACTGTTTTTAAGAGGAAACAATGCTGTCTCCTCCGTCAGTGTGACAGCATGCAGGGAAGACAAAAACAGTTTAATAACCAGAGTAGCAGAAACAACTAAAAAACAAACAGCTTGGCAGACGAAAGCAGAGTAAACAACTTGAACTGTGTGATAACTGACTATGGGAAAAGTAACACAATACACACAAGGACCAAAGAGGAAACAAGGTGAAGTCAGTGAAGGTCAATCAGGGAAACAGCTAGAGCACGTGTGCTGAGCAGAAATAATGAGGACACCTGGTGGACACAATGGGAACTGCTGAGACAGAGACAAACATTATTCTGCCCAAATTGTAAAACTGAAGAATAACATCTTGTTTACTGCTTTTCACACTGAAAATCGATGCCAAATTGCAGCTTGAGAAAACATCATAGTTGAGTAGCAAATACTTTGTCACTGTGCTAAAAAGTTATGTTCTGATGTATCTGCACCTGTTTTCTCTCTCAGACAACTTTTTATTTTTACCAATTGATGTCATAAGTAAAGATCTCTGCCAATGCAGCAAGCCACAGTTTCAGTGTTGTCTTAAAATGAGATGTAGTAACTAATCAAGATGTATAAATCTCTTAACAAGTAAAATAAGTTTTCTACAGTGGCATATGTTGAAATACGATGTTTATCTGGACCTGTCAGGTGACTGTGACTCAGGTGTAATGTGGCTAAGTTTTCGTGTGTGTGTGTGTGTGTGTGTGTGTGTGTGTGTGTGTGTGTGTGTGTGTGTGTGTAATCAGTGGGCCCCTGCGCTCTGGAGTATACCAAACTGAAGACGTCGGATCATTTCTGGACGGACCCGTCAGCCAATGAGCTTGTTCAGCGACACAGAATCCACGGAGCTAACCGGGGCCAAGACACTGCGACGGGGCGGCGGCCTGCTCTGGGGGTGAGTGTCACTTTGAAGGTCACAGGGATGTGATCTGTTGTTTTGGTTTTTGTTCACATAAAAAGACTGTTTAACTTTTTTTTTTTCTTCAGATCCGTAAGAGGCAGTCGAGTGGCAGCATGTCAGAAGATCGGTTTGCTGCATCAGCGAGGGAGTACGTCGAGTCTCTTCACCAAAACTCCAGAACTCACCTCCTCTATGGCAAAAACAACGTGATGGTGCAACCGGTAAAACTTCTTACGCTTAGTCTGTGACTACCAAACGTTCCATGTTGGTTTCTGATAGTCAACTAGACACAACAAAAGACCTTCTCACACACGTGTCGCTGACAGCCTGACCATGAAATCTTCCTTTGACGCTTTTTTACACATGTCACTCACAGCAGGAGATTTTTCATATCAGACAGGAGCGTAAAGTTTACAACATATCCAGGCTGGCAGATGAAGCAACAGAGTTCAACACTATTATGACAGTTTTTATCTTTATCTCAGTGCTACATGCATTTGGACATATTTGTGGTTTAAACTAAAGAGTAGTGAGAGAAATTAACAGAAAAGAGTACGAAGCAGCTCCATTATGTACACAAAAAGATCTTACCAGTGTCTCACTGGTTGCAGATTATAAACGTCATCACCCCCGTCTGCTCCATCACTGTAGATTTTCCTGAATATTTCCTGAATGTCTTCACACAGCGGCTCACCCCGACTTCCTGGAAGCATTTTAATAGAAGGCCGGCTGGAAAAATCGGGATAAAGTTGGGGGAAACAAATTTGGCTGTATTAGTTCACACAAAAAGACTAAAAGGGGAAAAAAGCAGTATTTCTTCTATCCTGCACAACCATCACCAAGCACACATTTGAACAGCTGCAGGTTACAGTGATCAAGGACTTCAACTGAAGGCAAGTTTATTTATAGATTACCATTCAGACACAAACCAACTCAAAGTGCTTCACACTGATAAAAAAAACAGAACATTAAGAACATCCTGAAGCAGAAACAAGACATTAAAACACCAAATATATAAAAATATAAACCCAACAACTGCTGATGATCCTGCTTAGGGCTCACGTCTTCTCCTGAGAGTGCTTTCTGACACTCAAAATATTAAACACGTCTTTAAAATGAACTCCTCTGTTGAATTTATTTGTTTGTGTACAGCCACAAACCTCAGATTATTTTCTAAATAGTCTCTTTACACTTATATTTTACCATGTACATTTTGACCACCTTTAAAACGTTGAATGCAAACAACTACACTCCTGTTATGATAATAATAATAGACTTTACTTGGCATGGACATCACAGATACATTGGACGAACCAGATGCATTGTTTAAGTGTTCTCAGGTCTCAACACCTGTCCACATGAGGCTTTTTGAAAGGAAAACAATTAAGGTAGGAAGAAAAGTAATAAAACATAGAAAAACAACAAGGAGAGAATAAATAAATACACATAAACTGTTTAGAACTAACTCTTCTCAAAAGGTTGTTTTTTAATGTTCAAAATAAAACAGAAGCCTTCTTAATTCAACTCATCAAGTTGCACAAGTGGAAGTGAACACTATGATAAAATGAGACATAATATTAGCTGTGAAGATACACTGTTTGCCTCTAGCTCTCCATCTAGAGATGAAATGTAAATCTTTTCTTAGACTTTTAAAAAAGACACTTTTTTCAGACATTTCTATGTGCTGCTGTAGAAGCCCTGAAGCAGAAATCCAACTCAGAAACCTTCAAACATGCAGCACACACACAGAGCAACTCTCTGCACCCACTCAGCTGCTACACATATGAATTTCAAATGACAGTTATATCATGTTATGCTACACACACACACACACACACACACACACACACACACACACACACACACACACACACACAGTCTTTTGTGTGTGTAATCTTTGACATGAAAGCTGTCTTTCTCCTGCCTGTCATGTTTCTGCTGCAGTGTGTTCAGCCCTGAATGTCTATTAAGCATAAATCTGCCTCCCACAGACTTCGGCCTCTGACACAAACATGTTAACACACATGCCTGAGCAGGCACACACTGCACGCTACAGTATGCATGCTAACTGTATGCATGCTAACTGTATTTGTATATGATTGTAGTCTTCCTTCAGTATCTCACCAGTATCCTATAGCCTTTTCACACTTACAAACAAACTCCTTACAAATTTCCTGAAATGTTTGGGGTGGACTGAATGTTTGAAGGCAATTTTTTACCCCTGACTTTATGCAGATTTTTTGCTGCCAGCCCCAAAGTAAAATTTCTGCAAGAATTCGGGTGAGCCAATGTGAATGCAGATGAAAATGTTCAGGAAAATTCCCTATAAGCAAGCAGGAGAGTTGATGATGTTTATGTCCTGCGACCACTTTGTGATCAATTTGATCTTGCATTTAATGAAACTGCTTCTTTATGTTTTCTGCTCGTCAAAATAAAACAAGCTAATGAGACTAATTAGCTGAACATTTGACCTCTACGTCTTTAAAGCAGGCTTAAGGGGAATTCACAGCACGTCCCTCAACAGTTGTTTTGAAAAAAATGGTTTCATCGAGGGTGCAGTCTGAACTTTCTGTTTTATGTCTTATGCTCCAAATCTGACACCTTTAAACTCCCTAGTCTGACATCCAGCCGCTAACCCATCCTTCTTCCTCTTCTTCCACCATTAATAGAAGAAAGACATGGAGGTGCTACGGGGCTACTTATCACTTCACCAGGCTGGAGAAAACCTCACCCTGAAGTGGACGCCGAACAAGCTCATCAACGGCACGCTGGGAGACTGTGACCTGGAGAAGAGGTAGACAAAACACGCTCCGATACATTTATAGACAATTTAAAATTATCTCACGCTTTCCTGTGAGACAAAAAAGTTACTTAATAACTTGACACCCCGACGACGTAGAAACGTGGTAAAACTAGGATAACATTAGAGATGCTTTTGAAAAAAGGTGAGAGGCTAGAACGCAAAAAGATTTTAAGACCGATGCAAAGCTGGCCAAACACTGAAGCTACAGTGTCCGCGAAGGAGGGGGCGGGGGCGAGCTCTCTTTGGACTGCAGTACCCATTTTAAGCGCTAGGTGTCAGAGTTATATATGGCCCCCCTGCCATTTACATCACATAAATGATGAAATAAAGGGTCCTCGAATCAAAAATACCAGACTATCCTCTTATAACTCTTCAAATTATTTGAAATGCAACCACGGCCCATGGAGCTTTATTCACACCACGTCTTCCTACCATCAGTATCTACTGGGATTACGCACTGACCGTCCCTCTGCGCCAGATAGTCTGCATCCACTGTCACCAACGACGTGAGTACGCTGCTACCAAGTACAAGTACATCCTTAAGTGGATCTATATGATGTTCTTATATCTTTCCTTTCTTTTCTTCTCATCTTATACCAGCTGATTGTGGAGGCACGCTTGTTCTGGTCAGTCAGGATGGGATCCAGCGGCCGCCCCTTCTTTTCCCCCCTGGTGGTCACCTCCTGGCCTTCCTCTCCTGTCTGGAAACCGGGCTTTTACCGCGGGGTCAGCTGGAGCCCCCCCTCTGGTCCCAGAAAGGAAAGGTAGGTCTCGGTTAGCTTGAGGATACGTTTGTACGTTTGGTGTCGATGCTGAAGGATCAATTTAGATGGAGGCCTCTAATGAAAATCCTTAACAGCTAAACTGAAACAAGAGCCATAAGTGTAGATTATGTGTGTTCAATGAGATTGTGAGCATCATTTTATTTTTAGTTAATAATAGGCATAAAATTGTGTTATATGACACTATACAATACAATAAGTCAGGAAAAAGCCTGTTCTGAACTCAAAGGTTAATGTGTGTTCTGCAGGGAAAAGTGTTTCCTAAACTGAGGAAGAGGAACAGCTGTGCTCGGCTCATCGACCAGGACAGGAACAGTGAGGAGGAGACAGCTGCCGACTACGTGTTTCGTATTGTTTACCCTGGATACCGATACGACGCCAGTGAGTAACACTTTTCCATTGCACATCGAAGTATCAGCATTTGGGCACAACAGAAATCGAATCTTCCAATCCATTCTGAAAGATACGTTTTGTATAACTGCTTGGATTTTGTCTTCCCTGAGGTGTTTTAAAAGTGTGCGTGAAGTCTGGTGTTTTTTCCCCCACAATTCCTCGGGCCTGCAGGGTGGCTCTGCTCTAACTGTGTTCTCTGTCGTCCCACTGGTGCACACAGTCACCATAAACTACCACCACACCACGGGCAGCCGCGCTCCGTCGCTGGACGACGACGAGGAAGAGGAAGATAGGCTCCATGCAATGATCTCAATGATCTGCTCGCGGAACCTCACAGACCCTAATGTCATGAAAGGTTTTTATCACCTTAACACACCCACCCTACCCACCCTACCCCAGCCACCCACAGCACCCACCCACCCTCTCCTGAGAACTCACCCTGGCTTCAGGCGTCCTCCCTGCCTCCCACTCTGTCGCCCCTCTTCTATCAGGCCCCTGATTGCACCCGTCCTCCCAACCCGTCCTCCCCAGCTTGGTCTGCCTGTGTGTGTGCTATCTGAGGCCGATCCCAACAGTGTGGAGCTTTGACGTTGACACAGGTTGATCAACACAGAACTGAAAAACAACCTTATATAAGTTGTTTTTTGGTGACATGATTATGCACTTCATATTTTCTTAATAGTCAAATGAAGAAATACTTACAAAAATAACACAAAACTAATCTATGAGTATATATAAGAGCATGAAATCTGAGACTCCAGTGGAACTTTACTGTAGATTAGATACTAAAAGTCTAATAGTCTCTGACAGATCTATAGGCTATTACCATTGTGGTCTATAAAGGGGAATCTCAAGTGAAGAAACCTGGGCTCTATTATGATGACTTATTAATGACTAACGGGTACAACAGGTTTTAGAATCACAGTAGATTGCTTCAGCCTGCAGCCAGAAAACATGTTTTAATGACTGGTTAACAAATATAACACCTTACTCCTGCATGACTTATTAGTAACCTTCTTTAAACATGTAACATGTTCTTCAGTCATGCAAACAACATTATTTTACATTGCACAATAGCATCTTTTCATTCCTTGGAATTGAAATTAATAAATTAGATTAAATAACTTTCTTTTAACAGCGTCTCAGCCATGTTTTTGAAACTAGCTGAGTATGGCAGCAACAGCGCTTTCTATTGGTCAACGAGAACATAACGTGATCACTGACACAGCGCTGTCTCATTGGTCAACGAGAAGCGCATTCCAGGCAGAAAGAGAGGGAGGAAGAGACTGCAGCAGGCATAGCTGACATACAGAACAAAATTAGTTCCTAATAGTTCATTAAGTAACATGTCTTTTTGTTTCAAAATATTCTAAGATGATTCCATATTTTAAAGAGCCCATATTATGCCCTTTTTGGGGTTCATATATTTAATCTATGTACCTACTAAAGTATGTTCACAATAGCTAAAGTTCTAAAAAAGTGTCTGTTCTCATGTACTGCCGCTCCATGCACCGGCTCGCTTCTGACTCTCTCTCTAAGAGCGCGGTCACACTGGCCATCCGTACCGTGCCCAAGCACGCTTCAACCCTAAATCCAGTTCGTTTGACCAGTGTGACCGCTCCGTAACGTGCTCAGGCACGGTACACTTCCTTGTCTTTGGCACACTTCAGAAGAGGTGTGCTTCGGCACAGTACACTTCATGCACAAGCACGCGGGTAAACAACACTGACAACCTTCATTATGGAGAAATCCAGAGTTTCATGTCTGTATCTGACACTAAAATGACACAATATAAGCCACAAAGTAGCTGTCATGTGTTCTCTGTGTTGTTCTCCGATGTGCGGCTGCGGACTCGCCTGTGGACTCGGCCGCGCGTCTATTTTATTATTTTATTTATTTATGGCTGTGTCTGATTAAAATGACTTAAAATAAGCTGTAAAGTCAGTAAAGTAGCTGTCATGCTCTGTGACGAAGTGCCCACGTTCAGAGTCCCCATGTGTGCCAAGTCTGATCTGGCATATCGTGGGCGTGCTACAGAAGTTAACGGGCGTGCAACATGAGCTGCTGGTCTTGCCACAATGAGCCAATGGGCTTAGATCAGTGATCTCACACTGACAATGACGACGCACTGACAAATTTATATGGAGGGGGGCTAGAACCGAGCGTTACATGCAGCTAATGCTACAGCTAACAGGAGGACGTAGGAGAAGCCTCGTTTCCGCTGACTTTGAATTTTTGCATATAGATGTGCCTAAACATGCACAGGACACTTGGAAAACACACTAAAGAGCATATACAACCAGAAAAAGCATAATATGGGACCTTTAAGGAACGGTTGGAAACCCTTGCTGCACCTACCAGATGCCATCCATCCACTGTGCTGGTTTACATCCAGGTGGTAGAGCACGGAGAAAAGGCCTCTTAACCAGAGTGACAGCGCCGACTAGTGGCCAGGGGCTGCATCACAGCTTACCCACAACTATTGACCGGCATTGTGGGCCTACATTCATACAAATATTAACAGTTAGTTTAACTGATCAGTCATTGTGTTGCATATTAGCGAGGGTGACATTCAATACTTTATTTGGCTGATGGCGCACATCCCTAGATGTCATGAATTTGTGGAGACCCAAACAGAGCGCAAGAGAAGGAGGATGTTGGACTTTATAAAGTAAAACACTTAATGAATGTTCTATGTTGCTAGATTTTGTTTGCTCACTTGCCTATCAAAGCTTTCACACTGTTATAAAAACAATGCTACCAAATGCTACATGTAGCACGGTATATGAACACAACACACATCTTGTGTTTGCGACTATCCCCTTTTGGCTGTCAGATAAATAACAGTTGTAAGTTCTAAGTCGCTGGATGTTTAATCAGGCACAATTAAATTTGAGTCTTTAGATAATTAGTCATAAATATTGTGAGACTTCCAGTAAATGTCACAGCAGCTGCTGAAACACTCCTCTGACACTCATCCTGCTTAATACTAATCTCCTCCTCTGCCTCTTTTCTGTCCCACTGCTCACACACAGATTAAGCTTGGCAGGGATCCTTACACACTGACGATAAACAGATTTAACGTTATGGAGAGTGACTGCACCCTCGTCACCTGGTCCGATCACAAAACTTCCCCACGGCTTCTTGTTAAGGCCAAGGCCTTACATGCTGTCTTGAATTCTGGGATTTGCAGTGCTGACTGTCTTAAAGAGACGTGAACTGGTTTAGCATGACTCAGCACTGTTGGGGTTACGCTGCGGAGGCAAAGAAGTGCTTTGATGATTTGCTTGGTTTTCTGCACACCTTTTGATTTAATTGACTCTGTTTCCTCCTTTTTGTCCTTTCATTTCTCACTTGCAACATGCTTGACAGTTTTTGCATGGGACAGTTGCACCTTTTTCTTTGTTTTTTTTCTTAAGAGAACGACTCTGTGTTTCTGCATATTTGTGATGGGAAATCCTCTCTCACAGTTTCCACATCTGTTCCTTTCGATTTCTCTCTCTCTCTCCTCTCTCTCTGAATTCCTCAGTTGTTTCTCCTCTTGTTTGTGCAGTCGTTTGCTGCGATGCTGTTCACTGTAATTCTTCACTAACCCCCCCCCCTCCACCACCACCACCACCCTCCCCTCTCCTGTCTCCTAGCCCCCTTCCTAACCCCTCTCATTACGGTCCTGTGGGGTTCCGCAGTAGTAGAGACGTGGAGTCCTTGTGTGAGCAGTCAAAAACACTTGTTGATCACGTCTAGTCATAAAGTAAAGAGGCCACATGGCGGCCTCGCCCCAGCAGCATTTTTTCTGTTCGCTTTTTTGTTCTTAATATTTTTTGCTTTTGGGGGAAATTAATGACCAAAGCGCAGCTTCATATTTATGACAGGTCATCAGCTCCAACCTGAAGAATTAAGGTGAAGAGCATTTATTTGATGTTGAAGTTTTATGATTTCTCCTCCCCTTTGTGTGCCTTTTGACTGGTGTCCATTTGTTTTCGCTATCTGTGAGAATATGAGATTTCTTTTGGTGTCTTGTTCTAGCTTTTTGCATCCTGCATGGCCTGAGCGTCAGCCTCGCCCCTGCCTCCTCTTCTTCTTCCTTCACTCCCTCTCTTCTTCCTCTTCCACCTCCTGTCTCCTGTTTGTCTGAGGCGTCCCTGAGCTCTGCTGTCTCCTCTGTCTCCCCTCTGAACGAGCTGAACCAGCATGGCTTCCCAGCATCCTCTCTGCCTGTCTGTCCCACAGCACCTCCCCCTCCCACCCTCTCATCTTTTGGTGTCCTCTCTTCTTGGCTTGCTTTTCCAGCTCTCACATGTAAACATGAGTGTAGAACTTTCCATCCATCTCCTCATCTCTTGATGTCATGAAGAAGAATACATGGAAAGATGTATTTATGGTTGAGCTGAGGGACCGATGTCATAATATGTAAGAACAGAGAACACAGCCAGTGTGAAGCTGATGAAATAACAAAGAACGTAGCTCGTGAAAACACCAGCGTTCATTTAGTCTCCAAGCACAGACTCTCTGTCTTCTTACTTTTGCACTTCTCTCTGGTTTTTAGACCATGGGGACATGATGGAGATGCAGGGTTTTGGAGGCAGCCCGTCGTCGTGGCAACAGGCTGAAGTTACAACTCACGAGCTACTGTGCCAGTCCTGCACCACGGCCGGCACTAACTTGTCATTTGATCTCCAGTCCGGCTGTACTTGCATACATGACACGTTAGACATTCACACGTAAGGCCTCATTAAAAACTCCTTCACCTGTCAAAAAGAGCTGCGATGTTTTCTTATCGGGATCTACATTTTTAGTCTAAAGACAAAGGAGACCGATGTGTTGAAATCATGGCATAACATTAAAAGCCAACTTCTAGCTTACTATAGAATTAAAACTCTGAATTTAGGGATGTTTCAGTGAATCTTTTCTGCAGTTTAGGATGCATACTATTGGATTTTAAAAAAATGTTTTAAATGTTTTTTCATTCAAACACCTGCCAGTTTGTAAGGTGAAGGTGAGGTTTATCAGTGTTATGAAACAAAACAAAGAAGAACATACCTTTTTTTAAATGTGCCCTCCCTTAAATAACATCTTTATAATCCAGCAGCATGGAAAAACTGCTAAGGCAATTATTTATCTTGTAAAAAAGTTTTTAAAAAAAGTTTATTTAAGGCAAGATGAGATAAGATAGAATTGTATTAATCCCGAAGGAAAGTCTTCCATATAGAAAGCCCTGTCTTATCTCTGTTTTTAATAACAGCATGTCAGTAGTTTTTGGAAGTATGTTTTTCCTCAACCCAAACGACTCATATTTGTTAAATTACTGGAATCTCAGTATTATGATACTATTAAAAGATCACATTTCTTCCCTATCATAGATAATATTTATTGCATTCTTTAAAAAATCTTGTTATTGCAAGATTTAAGACAAGTTTGAAGTGATGAAAGTGTTTTTCATTAAAGTCATATCAGAGTGTGAGTTTATGAACGGCTGCATGAAGAGAATCTGCTTGATAGTACATGACAGTGTCATCGGCATAAAGACATATATTACAATTGTACAATGAGGTGCTGTAGAGAGTGTACCTTGAGGGGCTTTCTTTGTTATGAGGAGAAAAAATGACTGCTATGCCACTGGTGTCACATCATAAGCTCAATCAAAGTTAAGGCCAATTGAATCAGCAAAAATATTAATGAATTCATGAAGGTAGTATCTAGTCCATTCATCTGTTAAAGAAAATGCATAAGGCAGCTTTTACTTTCAGCCATATCAATGGTTTCTGTGTGTGAAGAAAACATTTAAAAAGCTTTTACAATCCGCAGTCACTTGGTAATGGTTGATTTCTTTTCTCTCCCACAGTGTTCCTCTTAAGATGCTCTGCCAAAATATGAAGAGGCAGATAGTGTCCAGAGCCTTTTATGGCTGTAAGTCCTTCCTGCTCCACTGCACAGTGTTCGTACAGTCATTTTTAACATACGGTTTACATTTAGCGAGCAGACAACTCTAAAATGTGTTTTCTTAAGTTTAAGAATCCACCTACAGGAAACAGAGGCAACATTGAACTCCCAATGTAGAGAAACAAATATTTTAAAGTCACTTTAATAGAAAATGATTTATGCCTCAATGCAGCAGTGTCCTCGATCTGATTAAAAAAAACATATTATACTGTAATGGAATAAACCTTTACATTTGTTTGAATATATATATATATATATATATATATATATTATAGCAGTAGCCTGAAGAGCTAATTATTCAACCAATTATATGACCATTGTCATAACACCTTTAACACTGCAAAAAATTAAAAATAAGGCTAAAAATTAAAGCAGGTGTAGACATTAAGACAAATACAACAGTGTTGCTACATTACATACATTTTACGTTTTCAAACAGCGTAAGACTTTTATTTTGTCTGGATTGGTTCTTAGCTGTTAATATGCTACAAGAACCTTTTAACCTTTTAGTTGTATCAATCAGTCACTTTTAGTGCTGTACTTTCTGTATGGGATATTTGCTAAATGCTTGCCTGTCTTGCCTGAGTTGAGACTTTTGTCGAGGTTAAATTCTTCAAAACCCAACTCCCAACTTCAGTTTTAACAATCACAGAAACTCCCAACTTCAGTTTTAACAATCACAGTATTAAATGTCTCACAGTCGGGGAGTTGTATTTTTCCGCGATTTGGGACATTTATTTAAAAAAAAAAAAAAAAAATATGTCTGGACTTGACTTTGCAAAGGCTAAATGTCCCTCGTGTGTCTCTGTACATGTCTCACCTGTCTATCAGGGCTGGCCTACTGTCGTCATCTGTCCACTGTGCGGACTCACCTGTCAGCTCTGGTCAATCACAACATCGTCCCTCCTGACAGACCCTGCGAGGCATCCGGAGGTCTCAGCAAAGAGGTGTGGAGCAAGTACCAGAAAGACTGCAAGGTAGGTGGAGAGCAGAAAGGAATGTACAGTTATTAAAAGTCTACAAGAACATTTATTATAAGATAGTGACAGACAAATTACAAGATAAAAAGCACCTTAATCTTCTCCTGTAACCATCCGACACCACCAAAACCCTTCATCAGCAGATCAGTGAATGATAAAGCCAAAAGTCACAGCAGGCAGAATGCTAAATCATCAGTGAGTCATTGTTGGTATTGATCAAAACCTATACATATCATGTTATTGATGCTGAGTCAGGGCTTTGCTGGTCTTAATTACAGTGAAAATTTATGAAGTGGAAAAGGGCTGATGCAGCCTGTGAGGAAAGTTCCTTAAAAGAATAATGAGGAGCAAAAGATTTATCTCCAGAGGTTAGATGAGAGTTTGGCCCAATCACTCCCAGAGATGATGGCGGTATCTATTGTGGAGAGCCAGGAGTTTTAGTGTGAATGTTGTGGAAATTCTCATGACAACAGTCAGGGACATGAGGAACCAGAATCCATTGACAGATCTTTGTCACCTGTCATAGATTTTTCAAAATAAAATATTGAATAGGACGAAAATACCAAAGTCCTCAATGAAATTTAAGGAAAATTAAACTTGAATTACCTCAACAACTATTCAGTAAAATCATCTTAAAATGAAAAGGGCTATTGCAATTGTTGTAATTAAATTCTTATTTTATTTTCATTTTATATACAATAACAAGTTTTCGAAATACGTGGCCGCATACCTCCTTTTCACGCGCTCCAAGTACCCGTACTGTAATTCATTGTATAGATCATATTTCAAGCGGCGGCTGGCTTGACCGGGGTTTTGCAAGACGGCTCACTTGACCGTGGTCAGTCCGCCCCAGCTCTAGCTGCCCCCGGGTTCCTCGTCCTCACCGCTGCCGGCTCAGCTGCTGCGGCCGGTGGCGAGCTACCCGCCTGTCGGCAGCAGATGAATCGCTGCTATATTGCGGTTCATAGAGATAGCCACGAACATCCGATTTGAGCAAAAGACCTTCAAAATCCCCTTCATCCATCTCAGTTTGAAGTTGAAACATATCAACGCCATTATCAGCTTTCTCCATAGAGCCTGTTAGCATAGCTTCCAAGCAATATGGCGGGCGTTAAGTTTCGTTTCGGGGAGTGAGGTCCCACCCACTGATCTGTGATTGGTCTGTAGCTTCAGTGGTCGAAAAAATGAGGAACTAGTAGTAGTTTCACCCTTGCTTACCACAACAGCTTCCGATGACGAAAAATTACGATTTTTGCATCATCAGAGGCTCCTTGTCAGACTTAAAAATACAAAGATTTCCCGTCTCAGGGGAAAATGAGGGCGGGATGCACGACCATTTAAAAATACTACCAAGTTTCTAATGATACAAAGCTTAATGCAAATGGGTGAAGTATCCCCTTAAGTTAAACGCCTCCCCACAGTCAACACTTTGATACAGAAGACCATGTGACCATGCTTCTTTACATTTTATTTCACTCCGTCTTCATGTAATAACAATTACATTTGGTTGTTTTGTCAAGATGTCAGCTTATTATCTCATTATCTTGGGATAACATCACTTTTTTTTTCATGATAACGACTTAATTTCAATCGTTTTCTCGAGCTCTTGATGAAGTAACTTGTTATTATGGGAAAATCAACATTGTTATCTTCATTTAACGACATACATAAGACAAAACCTCAAGAAAGCAAATGGAAATTACTCGTTATCACCAGGCAGCAGTGTAATAAATACAATATTTATGGTTGTATGTCTGCATAGGACTTCTGTGCGTTAACTCATAAAACCACAGTAAAACTAAGCATTTTCAAGAAAGAAAATAATCAACTAAAGCAGCTTTAAATACTGATGAAAACTTAGTGAAATTGAAAACAAAAAGTAAAAAAACATTAATAAAAAATAAAGAAATATGGGGTGCCGATTGCCGAGTCGTTATGTCGTGTCCCCATGTACAGAGGCTTAGTCTTCATCTCTGTGGTCGTAGGTTCGAATCCGACCTCGGCCCTTTGCTGCAAGTCATCCTCCGCTCTCTCATCCCAACATTTCCTGTCTCTCTTTGGCTGTTCTATCTCATAAAGGCAAAAGACCCAAAAACATATTTAAAATAAATCAAATAAAGAAATATTATAAACTATAATAACCTTTTAATAATGTGAAGATTAAAATAAAAACCCACACCTTTTTAATGACTATCAAACTGTTTACTGAGTTTTTAACCCAATAGAAGCTTTTCTAACTTTGGAATTGAGTTAAAATATTTCTATAGATTTATCCTCCCTCCATGACACACTTTCCTTCTCTGTAGGCGTATACTTATTAAACGTCAGAGAACATGTTCTGGTCTCCTCCCCTCGCCACTCTCGTCTACACTGTAATGAAAGTTTAATGAGTCTCAGTGAGATGAGGTGTGTTACAGAGTGCAGTGTGATACCGTCACAGCTATTAAACTATCCACTGTAATCATTCATTAGCTCAAATACAGCCGTCATTACTAATTCACCCTCTATTCACATCTGTGCCCTTTATCTTCTGCAGTCATGCGTGTCTTCCTCTGTACAGATCACAATCACTCTTTCTCTTCTTTCATTATTGATGCTCTCCCTCTAAGTCTCGTTCCTCTCACCATTCACAGTCAAGTGTCGTCTTCCTGTCAACCTTTTTTATTCTTCTTTTGAGTCATATTCCTAAAATCCTGTTTATCTGTCTGTCTGTGTTAAGAACTACAAGGAGCTGGAGCTGCTGCGGCTGGTGTATTATGGCGGAGTGCAGCACGAAATCAGAAAGGAGGTTTGGCCTTTCCTGCTGGGACACTACAAGTTCGGCATGGGAAAAAAAGACATGAGCCAGGTACAGCACACACACACCTTAACATGTGTGCACAATCTTAACTTCTCCCTTAGGGGTAGTGTCCATACATTTTATCTGCTGGCAGCCGTGAAACAGGCTGTAACTGCTGCAATATTATCCATTTTCTGAAATACACAATATCAAACTATGCCCACTTAAAGTTCTTGTTTTTGCCACTGCAAGCTCAGATTATTATTCTAAGTTTGTGACCACCTCCAACTCCATAAACAAACAAACAAACATAATTTGATCTCTTGTTTTTATGATCAAGGATTACGTTACTATTGCAGCCTGTTTAAAGGCTGCCTGCGGAGAACTTCCAAACGTTTTGGTGCATTTAGTCGTTAAGATCCCATATATGTGAAATTTGAGCGCCTTTTGAAAACCAGAACAGAATTCCTGTTGGATCTACGAGAACGTTTTTCTTTCTGTGCAGATTGATATGAAGATCAGTGAGCGCTACCAGCAGGTGATGCGGGAGTGGAAGGCCTGTGAGGTGATCGTCAAGCAGAGGGAGAAGGAGATGCAGTCGGCCATCTTTGCTAAGCTCTCTTCAGGCAGCAGCATCGACAGCCATGTCCTGAGGCTCGTTCACAGAGACTCCACACTGAGCAACGAGGTGAAAATCCAGACGAAACACAAAACCGCCTCCATTCAGCAAACTGCAAACATCTAATTCCTTGTTAGATGATGTATCCCATAGAGCATTTGTTAACGTAGTATCCTGCTGTTCACTGGTGTCATTAACATTATAAAGATGTGCATGATGTTAATGATCTAATGTTGCATTTCTTGAGATCTGCACATTCCACTTTTCCAAAAAACCATGTCTCCTTCCTCATAACACTGCTTTACATTTCAACTTCATCTGCAGTAAGAGGGTGAGTTGTTTGTTTTCCTCAAAACTAAAAATAGGCAGCCTTTACAAAAGTCTTAAAAGCAGGGGATTTTCACCTGGTAAGCATCTATTCAGCTTTTTTTATTTCTCTTGAATGAATCTTTGGCAGGACGACTAGTAGACCAACTGAAGAACAATTCGTTCCTATATGGGTTTATGATTTGCTTTTGGATCAAAAGATTCCATAGAATCAGCAGATTGCAGTATTTCCACTGTCAAAGAAATAACAAAGGCAGTGTTACTTGTCCTGAAAAAAGCCTTTGACACTATCAACCATTGCATTCGCCTTTTTAACTTATCCATATCTAACTTTTCTCATTTTGTTTTGGTCATACCTTCAGACCAGAGAGCAGTGTGTAAAAGTTAACCAAGAAAAGTCACCTTTCTGAAACCTCAGATTTGGCTCAATCCACGGCACTCTGCTTTTTAGTCCGTTTTCATATGACTTGTCTACATACAAAAAGGAACTTTATTCATCCTGAAGGACATTCTGGTGCCAAGTTGCTGTGACATTTTAGTACAAAAGGCAGGCGTTACATGAAAGTGGATTTAGGGCTAAACTAAAAAAAATAGTGCCCTAAAAAGGATCAAAGTTAATTAACAGAATAAGCTTAGTATGACAGTAATGACATTATTGATACCACTAGTAATACTGACTGTTCAGTTCGTGGTCAGCTCATTTACATTTAAAGCTACAGATACAGAAACAGTCTGTTCTGAGCAGAGCTGAAATAGAGGGGTTTATAGGCATGATCAAATACAGGATCAGAGTGGATTTAGAACAAGAAACTTCACAGACATGTTTCGGGTACTCTGGGACTTATTTTGAAAAGGAGGATAATATGTGACCTTTAAGATCCACAACTCAAATGTCATAAACGTGAGAGGAACATTTCCTATTAGACAATTTCAACAGTAAAGACAAAAATGGTTTGACATTAATGTGACGTTTATTATCAACGAAGGGAGCCAGCCTCTCATTTCTCATATTTCATATTTCATGACAGTATGAGCTTAAGAGTCGTATTTCTAAAATCGGAAATAAACTTAATATAATCAAATTAATTTCAGAAGAAAGATAGTTTAAAATGAAGGTGAACTGTTGGCTAAAAGCAAATCAAAGCTGTACTTTTATTTCACTTAGTTTATTTACGTACTATGAGTTCCATGTATGAAGAGTGTGTATTGGAGCTTTTGGTGTGATTTTTATTTCCATATCTGTAATGTTATGTGGTTATATGCCACTGAAAGCTGTTTGAGTTGCTGTGTATGTAAAAGCCCAAACCAGACAAAGGTTGAACATCAGCTTAAGCATAAACTCTCTGTACATCAGCACATCAGTTTCAAGTTGCGTCATTCTTCAGGTGTTTATGTCCGTGGATGAGCCGGACGCAGGGAGCCAGGAGACCCCCAGTGGAGAGGACAGTACCCCCACCATGACCACCCTGGTTCCCCCCGCAGCCCTCCCGCAAGAGGAGCGCCCTCTGGTGGAGTTTGACTCCCCCGACTCGGGTCTTCCCTCCTCCAGAAACTACTCAGTGACCTCTGCTCATTCCCAGATCCTGTCCAGCATAGACGACGGGCAGAGCACGGAGGAGGAAGGGGGGGGCAGGGAGGAGGGCAGCACTCCAGGTGTGCTGGGGGGGCGTCAGGAGTCTTTGACTGAGGACAAACTGTGTAGCCAGCTGGACAAACTGGTGACCAACGGAGCAGATACAGAGGGGATCTTACCTTCACTCTCCTCGTATACCGTGAGTAAAAGGAAACATGACTAATTTCTTAAACTGAATTTTTGAGATTTCTTTCTATGAACAAAACAAGCTAATGGACAAGATGAGGTTTCTCATTGTAAATCCTGTAAATTAACTTTGATTGATACAACTTTACCATTAAATATCAACAACATTGTTGCCTTTGTGCAGATCGAGCTGTTGGACACAGTCGCTCTGAATCTCCACAGAATAGACAAAGACGTACAACGCTGCGACCGCAACTATTATTACTTCACCACAGCCAACCTGGAGAAATTACGAAACATCATGTGCAGGTATGAGGATGTGTTTCTAGATCCTTCACTGAGAGCTGCTATAATCACAATATATATATAATTAGAGCCCATAATTATAATTATTATAAACCATTATAACTGCCTATTACATGTACAGTGTACTGGTATCAGTGTGCAGCATATGGTTTAAATATAGGTCAGAATAATAATGTTTTGGGTTGATTCAGAAATAATGCTTCATTGAGTTTGTCCTGTAGAGTTTGCTCTCTGGCTCCTCTCAGTGATCCTCTCAGGACTGTCTGCAGCACATGTAGCAGAGTGGGACAGGTCTGCCACTAACAGGACTTTTAATAATGCTAATGTTTCTTTATCTCCTTGTTTTGTAAAGAAGTGTGTGGCATATTGTCTTAAAAGTGATTACATGTCAGTGTTTTGTTTGAAAAAAAATGTTTTACATGTAAAATGTCTGCATCAGAATAGCACAGAACATATAGTCTGCAATGGGGCGCCAGTAGCTTAGTGGTTAGTGTGCAAAGACCATAGTCCTCGAGGGCGGGTGGCCCGGGTTTGAATCCGACCTGTTGTTTCTTTACCACATGTCATTCCCCACTCTGTCTCTCTTCCCTATTTCTGTCCACTGTCCTATCTCTAAACAAAAAAAGCCCAAAATAATCCTTCAAAATAAAACAAAACATATAGCCTATAAAATGTTGACAGCAAAAGGAAGAGCAGTCATTATGCAGAAAAAATGCCACTCTGGGAATGTCCAACATTATATTATCAGATTCTTTTTAGTGATGCATTAATGTGTAAGTTGATGGCCAAGGTGGAGCTCAGTTGGTGCAGTCAGTTTTTTATATGTGATGAAATTATCACCAAGGTAACATATATGTAAAACTGTCTCTTTGAAAAGAAAACCCACACCCACAGTGTAACATGAAGCCTGTTGAGCTGAATGTGATTTCTTTGCTCTTCTGTGTCTCCTTCTCGCCTGCAGCTATGTGTGGGAGCATTTAGAGATCGGCTACGTTCAGGGCATGTGCGACCTGCTTGCTCCACTCATGGTCATCCTGGATGATGGTGAGAACAAAGACTCATCAGAGCACCATGTATCTTATATCTCTTATAGCTGTCATTGTAAAAGAAAGATCGCTTCTGTAGCTTATCAGAACTGAAACATGTATACCTTATTTTTATTAAAGAAAAAAATCACACTGGCATTTCAAACACAAGGGCAACCATGTATGAAGGTAAGGTTTAGTTACTGTTTATCATTTACAAAGAGGAAAATAGTCAAGTGCATTGAGTAGTCAGAAGACTAGAAAGGCTATACCAGCTCAAGTCTTTTTACCATTTGCTGAATATGTTGGTCAGCTTTGATTAAAACAAGTTCTAAAATATTTCATAAACCTCGGCCCTCTTCAAACATAATTTTGATCTAATGACTAATAGATACGGCCAAGACATGAGCTCTCAGGCTGAAACACAACAATTAAAGTAAAAGTTCCCAATCAAAGAACAAACACTGAAAAGCTTTTGTCACTTACAGGCTCAGATTTTTATTCTCAGAGTCTGACATTACAGACAGGATCCCTCCAGAGGTGGACCTTTTTTAAAACAATATACATAGTTACTCAAATGGACATTTGTTACACCAACACGGCAGCATGACCCCTTATCTTCCTCCGGTGTGTGTGTGTGTGTGTGTGTGTGTGTGTGTGTGTGTGTGTGTGTGTGTGTGTGTGTGTGTGTGTGTGTGTGTGTGTGTGTGTGTGTGTGTGTGTGTGTGTGTGTGTGTGTGTGTGTGTGTGTGTGTGTGTGTGTGTGTGTGTGTGTGTGTGTGTGTGTGTGTGTGTGTGTGTGTGTGTGTGTGTGTGTGTGTGTGTGTGTGTCAGAGTCCTTGGCCTACAGCTGTTTCACTCAGCTAATGAAGAGGATGAGTCAGAACTTCCCTACCGGTGGAGCCATGGACACACACTTTGCCAACATGAGGTCACTTATCCAGGTGAAAAAATAACTACTACTTCAAGTGTGTGTGTGTGTGTGTGTGTGTGTGTGTGTACATGCGTTTCATTTACCACCTTGTTTTTCTTCTCTGATGTCAGATCCTGGACTCCGAGCTGTTTGAACTGATGCAGCAGAACGGAGATTACACTCACTTCTACTTCTGTTACCGCTGGTTTTTGCTGGACTTTAAGAGAGGTGAACAACAAATTCTAACCCCCACCCCTCTTTTATTTTTTCTTGATCTATTTGAGAGGTATCCTGTCTAAGTGACTACATATGTACACCCAAGCATTTTCTATTCAAATTGACCATGCAAAAAGGTACCTTTAGAACCAAAGAAGAAGGGTTGGGTTTAAAGTATTTGAAAAAGTGTTAAGTGTGTTTTCTGTGTCTTTGTATGTGTGTGTGCAGAGCTCCTGTATGAGGACGTGTTTGCGGTCTGGGAGGTGATCTGGGTGGCTCCCAGGATTTCCTCAAAGCACTTTGGCCTCTTTCTGGCGTTGGCCCTGGTCACAGTTTACCGTGAGATCATCATCGATAACAACATGGACTTCACTGACATTATCAAGTTCTTCAACGGTACGTGACTTAGCTAAAAGCAAAGAAATCATTTGTTGGAATTGTTGTCTAATAAGAGTGTGTTTGATCCACAGAGATGGCTGAGCGTCACGATGTCCTGCACATCTTGAAGGTAGCCCGTGAGCTGGTGCACAGAGTCCAGTCTCTGATGGACAACAAGTGACTGTAGAGGAAGAGGAGGGGGCGAGAGTATATAAAGGACACTCAGCTCTTCCTCTCATCCCTCAGAGAGACTCAGTGTTCCCTGGCCTCCCCATGCGCGTTGCAGGTCCTGGGAGGCCGGGTCCCCTCACCCTGCCCAGGTGAAGCGCCCTATGAGTGGGGCAGGAATGCTGCTGAGGGGGCCCGGCTCTGGAGCTCCGCCTCCATCTGTTTACATTTAACCTTCACATGGAATGCCCATGGTGTCCGTTCAGACATGTGGATCTGTCTGCATGCTTGTGAGTTTGATCACACTGTGAACGCATTTCTTGAGTCTCCCCAGTCTTACAAGAGCTTGTGTGCGTGCATGAAAATACACACAGACACACACATGCACACACACATGCACACACACACGCGCACACACACACACACACACACACAACACACACACACATATTTACACATGCAGCATTGGCTCTGACAATACAGCAAGTTTCTCGAGTGTCGCCCTTTTCCTGACTCTGAACCAGAACATGTTCGGTGTCTGTCAGGAAGTCAGTGTCCCTCCGCGCAGTACCAGCGGAGGCCACTAGAGTGCAGGATTTACACACATAGAGGAGCAGAAGACTTAGCCACGAAGAAGTTTTCATTAGTGACCAAATGGACTGTGCCAACTACCTTTTCATGAGTGTTTTCTACAACAGGCATGTGTTTTTAACCCCCTTGTTCCCCCCTCTCTTTTTTTCTTTTCGTTCATTATCACACAAATGTTGCCTTTATCAGTGACAGCCCAGCGTACCGAGTTGCACTTTTGGGAGGGTTTCCTTCATGGTGCCTGTGAAGAGCGTCAGTGACCGTGAGGCTTGGAGGCACCACGAGAGGCCAAACTGTAGAGAAAAAAAACAGAACGGATTGCAGCCAACTTTCCTGAGCGTGCGTATCGGTGATGGAAGCATTTAAAATGCTTATTTCAACACAGAAAGAACAGAAGCAACAGAGCACAACAGTAGAGAATAAAGCACACAGGCCACCCCCTTAAACTCTGAAAATAACTTGAGCATCTCTGTTTGTACCACCAAGGTGTAAGGTCAGGGCTGAGGTCGTGTCTCCAGGAATACTTCTGGAAAAGAGATATTTAACAACCTAACATTACACAGTTCTAATGCTCATTCCTTTTAGAATAAATATCTTTAACTATGATTGTTTTTAGGGTTGAAAAACATATGTATTCATCACATTTTTAACAGATGATTTAACAGATTTAAACTAGCCAGGCGTAATGGACCTAAATGAGCGTAGGAGGAGTAGCTCTTTTTATGCATTTCAAAAATCATGTTGAAATGTCCAAGATACAGTATGCCAACTATTTGTATTACTGCCTGGAACAAGAAAATATAAATAAGTTGTTGAACATTTCCTCTTATTTGCAGTATTATCATAAATCAAATTGTCGATAGTTCAGTTGAAATACCATTTTGAAAACATAACGCTACAAAAAACACTGAGAGACCACTGCAACATGATGTTTTTCTCTGGTGCTACTCTTGAGTAGTTTCTCTGAGTTTGTCTTATAGGAAAATAAGCATTCTTTTATATTGAATTAACTGTTTAAAATTGTACAAAAACAGAGCAAGGCAGAACTAAATAAATAGATAAATTAATGGGTCAAATAAGAAACTGTGGTGCCACTATAAAAGGGTTTAATTAAAATGATTTAAAAGGTGCTGTCACAACAGTAACATCTCAGGAGAAAGGTTGGGTGACTCGATTATGTGGTTGCAAAAAGTTTCAAGTAAAGCATTAAGCATTCCATTTGTGTAACTGACAACATGTCATTAAGCTAATGGAAGAAGTGGTGTGGTGAGGTAGACTTCCAGGTGAAGAGGATATGTTTTTTTAGCAACCACCAATCTCAAATGCAGAGACATTCAATCTGCATATTTTACATCAGACTGAAAGTCTCCTCCTCATACTGCATTAACCTGCAGCCTGAGATGATAGAACAACAGTGAACATGTGTCAAAGTCCCTGACCCAGGACTCCCTGGTATGATCAGAAGAGACCGATAGTAAATGTAAAGTGATTTACAACTTTCAATATTAATTATTACATATTTCCTTTGTGTAAAATGACAACTAGTTACGATAGCAAAAATATGCAGTATTTATAAGGGCCTGACCGATTTCAGATTTTAAGTTACCAATATTAGGGAGAGAAAAAATCTGATACGGGTACATGTGGATGTTTGTGTATCACTGCTTGACGCTCAGGAGAATGATGATGCTTTTTGTAATCCATATAGTGCCCTCTGCTGGTGAAAGAGAACTGCTGGTTTAATACAGTGTTACTCAAATGAAATACGTTTTGACTGGTAAATAAATCTGGTGATATCCTCCCATATCTGTGATAAAATTGGCCCATACAGATAGTCATTTGATATGCTAATATGAACCGATACTATCGTCTGGCTGATTATTTGGTCTGGCTCTAGTGTTTATCAGACTGGGAATAATGAGACGAACACAAGTTCTTATTCATGTATATACAGCAGAATAATAATGTTTGAACGTAGGACGAGTTCAGAAATAGTTCAGTATTTAGTGGAATAAACCTGATCTTAAAGTGCAGCTTTCATGCATCTGGTCATGCTCTCCTCCAGTCTTAACACTGACATTATTTCACTCCTTGCACAAAAAGTCAGCAGCTTGTCTTTTTGATGCATTTTTTAAGATACCACTTAATATATTACCACAAAATATTCTGATGTCAGATCTCTTCCTGAGTTAAAAAAAACATGATTATTCTGTTGAGTATTAACTTTTTATCAAAGTTCATCAAAATCTGAAAAACAGTGCATCTTTAGTTATCTTAACGAGTCTTCATTATCGACCTAAATGAGATCATTTCATTTGGAGGTTGGGAGAAATGTTGTGTACAATTAAACAAATCATTTTCCGTTTATTCAAACAAAAACCTCTAAATAGTAGAACCAAAGAAAAACATACTTTTGTAAGGAGTCCTTAGTTTTTTATTCTGGAGCTTTATATCTGGGTGGGGCTTTAACAGACCAGATTCAGCTGACAGAATTTTAAGATGGTCCTAATTTTACCACACATAGCCTTAAAATGCCATTTCAACATGATTTGTTTTGCTTGTAGCTTTGCATACATGCACACAATGATTATTTTAGGAGAATCCGATCACTGTTGGAAAGTAGAGATATACAGAGTCTCAAATCCTCGTTTTCTGTTGGAAACATCAGATATGTTCAAAGATCTGAGCAGCAGGAAATCTGGTTGCAATCCTGCCTGGAGTTCAGCCTCTGAGAACAGAATTAAGCTACAAATCAGATTTGCGGTTCCTGTTTTTAAAAGAAGCTGCTGCTTTTGATGCCAAACTCTCGCCAGTGTTCAGCGAGTCAGTACACGCTCGGTCTTGGGCTTCACAGTGACAGCACAGAGTATTATTCATGTTTCTACCTTGAAGGGAATTTTTGATACTGTTTCCCCCTTATCAGTGTGACCCTTTATCTCCTCTCCTCCTTAAAACGTCCGACACGGCTGCATCTGATTGGTCATCCAGCACGGACCTGCACCTGTGATCCAAGTGCCAAGAGTCTTCCCCATCCTGAAGCGTACTGTAGTGATCCAGCTCTCTTCACTTGCTAGTTTGATCCCAGGAACGGGTGGAGACGTGGATGTACGTCTCCCCTTTTCTTCTTCCAATCAGGACGTTGTGTACCAAAGCCTTGAAAAAGCCCCCTCTGTGGCATGACGACAATGTGCAATTTCATACTGCATCTTGAAGACTGACTGTTTACTATGTGTGTACAATATTTTTGAAAATTGTGATTCTTTAACTACTGTGCAATTGCTGTCGTTTCAGAAGATCCATTAAAGTCTATATTGCTGTAAATAGGAAACTGAAATCCTAATATTTCTATGAAGACCGTGGAACCATAAATATAAACATATATACCTTATTTTGAGATCTATTTTTTATGTTGGTTTTAGCAGCACTAGTGGGAGTTTTAAAGTGTGCAGAGATGCAGAATGTGTGCAGACGTTGTTACACGTTGACTGTTAAGTGTTCCTTCTCAATGTTGTGCACTGATTTCAAGATTTCTATTTATTAAGAGATCCAATGAATTAATTGCATTGCTGAATATGTATTGGTAAGGATGTATTATTTGCCTTGAATGTAATGTATTATTAAACAACAATTTGTTCATGAGTGGGTTGTGGTTTATCTTCCTTTTAGTCGTTTAAAGGGTTTTGATGAGTTTTAATAAGTTGTGTTTGCTCCTTCACTCTCTGTGTTATCATTCTTCTTATAAAGGACATTAATTTACTATGAAGCTCACTATTCACTTCATGTATAACCAAAGGGTTAAATACCTGTGTTCAGCATAATAATCCACAAAGTCTGGTTGGTTCCTATAATTATAATCAGGCCCGCCCACAGAAATGGCTGGACCCCCCTCAAAGTCCCAGTGAATGGGCCCTCTCAGGATGTGATTTAAATCAATGTATACACATTCATGCAATAAATAATTCTGTTCCCATCAAATATTTCATCAAACGTTAGGATCGTACAGTTTATGTGGATTCTGGTGCCCCCATGTGGACAAGGTTTGTAATGCACTGTCTAATTTAGGGCAGGGTAGTCAGGTTTATCCTATCAAGTTTTATTTGAAAAATCAGAACAAAAGATGGATTATCTTTAATTTAGGATAGCAAAGAAAAACAGCTCAGATTCCAAGATCTGGATTATTTTTCATCCAGATCAAATCTTTTGGGCCAGTAGGCCCTGATGCATCAGACATGGACAATTCAGCCTCTGATAAAAAGAAAAAAAAAGCTTTTAAAATGTTGGTTTCTTGGCTGTCTTGTGATGAAACCTCATCATTAATTGTTACTTTTTACAAATCTGCATAATGGTGTAATTATTTCAGCATACCTTTGGACCCATTTATTAAAATGTAATCACAGTAAATTCTGTTTATTTTGGGTTCATAGCGCTGTAGTAAGACAGACTTCAGTCGTAACTTGATAGATACAGTGAAGCTGTCACTCAGTAGAGACAGATAGACAAGAGCTCCTCAGCTGAAGCAGAACGCTGAGAGAGAAATCCTGGTACAGATCCTAACTAACTGGTCATAATACTGGGACATGGTCTGGCCTGAACCAGCAGCAGGAAGTTCACCCAGAGACATGGAGTTCATGGAGGAGGAACAGAAATGAACCGAGCTGTGTTTCCCATTTGATTATTTTTGAACCCAGACACAATAATGTTTGTTTTTAAAACATATCAGTTAGGTCGTGGTAAACCAATGTGAATAAACACAAATGGTGCAGGTTAAGTCACTCTCTTTAGGTCTGAGAAAAAATACTACAAGTTGCCCTGAAATGAACAAGAGACAGAAGCTGTTCGGCAGCTTCCCACTCCCATCATCTGATTTATACAAATACAACCAATAACTAACCTGACTGCTGCATTCCTTCAAGATATGTGTGTTAGAATTATATTGCTGTAAAACTTTCTTCTGCTTTTCATTGTTTTAAGTTGATTTAAGTGTTGCACTACTTGTCATTAAGAATAATGCTGTTTCTTATAATATAAATTAAATGACTTTTAAGGAGGAGTTTTTTTTTTTTAACTTGTCAGGAGCTTGTTCATTTTGTAAAATCTTGACCCTAAAGAAATGTTGAATGCTGCATTAATCATTTAAATGAAGAAAAAAAACATGCGAGTGAACACAGGTTTAGAAAAAGCATCGTTTATCACGGTTGATACTTCAAACTGATCAGTACCCATGACATTGCACAATACAAAGGCATGAAAAAATGAACACTAAAATAGGTATTGCATCTTCCAAAAGCTAATTTTCCATTCATAAATACTTCTTGCGATTTCGCTTTACTGCAGTTTCTTACAACAGAATCACAGAGTTGTTGTTGTTTTCACTAAAAAGCCTGAAATCATTTCTAAAAAAGAAAAAGAAAAATCAACGAGCATGATGTGACACAAAAATAACAATCAGCAGACATTCTGTGGGTGTGAGAAGTATTAGTATTATTTTCTGTACAGTACAACATCCAAGGCCAAGAGTCCTCCGCTCCGTACACGAGGAGTAGGAGCAGCCTGCAGGTGGAGGTGCTGCTGATGCTGAGGTCACTGTCCTACTGTGCTCAGACGGTGAGATGATGTCCAGCATTTTCTGGTTCACTGCAACTGAGACATGAAGATGTTTGCGTCAAAAACATAACAGAGTTCGATATACAATGCTGAATATGAAGCTAAAAATAAGCATAATCTGTTAGCTTAGCATAGAGACAGGAAACAGAGGTGAACAGCTAGCATGGCTCTGCCCAACAAATATTTTGGAAAAGGTTCAAATGTTGCCAATGTATTTAAGCGATTGAGTCAGTGTGCAGGAGTTTGCATACGGCTTTGACTACCTTGAATCTGTTTTATTTCAGTAATTGATATCATTTTTATAACTGTAATCTAACATATTCATTTGTAAGTAAGAACTACAGCTCCCAGATACCTGTGTGTTGCGGTGATGGCACTCCCTCTGCTCTTAACTGGGGTTTGGTCCCTCTGCAGACTTCTGAATCTGTGAGGAAACAGACAAGTAAAGGTTGAACAGATAAAAAATAACCACCCAGATGACGCCCACAGGCAGCTGACGTGTTACAAACAGTAGTTTATTCATCCATCATTCAATACACAAAGAGCTTGATTGGGTGGACAAAATGAGCAAATCAAAAGCAAAAAGTGTGAATCAAAAAACATGGGCGAGAGCAAGATGTAGATTGGTCTAACTACCAGAAGGGGGCAGACGTGCTCTTCAGCCGACATCAGGCTCTTGAACCGAGACACAACAAGACAACATAAAGAGACTCACACAAAAAACAACAAATAAAGACCAAAAAAACACAACATAAAGCCGAGACCAGAAGACAACGAAAGGCTGCGTCACATGGCAAGAAACTCAAGTTAAAAACATGAGATGAGGAACGAAGACGATTTGTTTTCACTGAGCTGAGATGGTTTAAATCAAAAGAAGCCGAGTTTGGAAATAAAACAAAAGAAGAAAAAAAAGCTCAGCAACAGGCAGGAATGTTACTGTACCTGTGATTGTTCTTTTAGGAAATCTGGTAGCTGAAATTCACCTTTAAAGACCTGGAAAAACAAAGCGCCAGGTTTAGTGGTCATTGAATCTGCAGGAATTCATCACCTGGTTTACCAGGGGGAAGCTGGACTGGATCATCAGATCACTTTACATAAAATGAGGTTTTTTTAAAATCACTGAATCAATTAGATTAAAGCCTCATTCGTCATGTGCAAAAGCATGATTATCACTTCTCAAATCCAAGCTGAGCCGACAGTCTGACTGATGTAATCCACCTCAGTGTGTTTATCAGCAGGAAAAGGGCGTTATAGCGAATAGGATCACAAAATGTTTCATCAAAGTCGACAGCATGATTTAGACTGTGACAAAGCTTTCAGCATGAAGAGGCTTGATGACGGCCGGCGCCTGAATCAACCAGATGTTGAGAGAAGATTGGACTGAGTTGTCTATCTCAGTTCATTGCTAAAAAAAAAAACACATAAAAGTATAAAACATGGATGTAGTATCAGTGACATCACCCATTGGTGTTTGAAGAGTAGTTATGAAGCCCAGCGATAGTGGTCGCCATATTGGAAACGCCATCTCAACCTGTTTTCTGATCAATCTAGAAACAAAGGGTGAGGCTGTTGTTGGCTAAACACACCCTTGTGTCAGTCAACTCAACCACGCCCACAATTATGCAAATGTTTGCATAACCCAATTTTAGAACAATAAGAAAATAAGCTAGACAAAACAGGGGAGGCTGCAAACAAAACTATTCTCACAATGAATCTTTGAATGTTCAGGTAAAAAAAAGGTAAAAAACATAAAGCCCAAAGTGACGTCCTTAAATCATTTCTGTTTGCCAAACATCATTTCAAAACAGAACAACTACAATCACATTTAGAAATGACAGATATGCAGCACATCTTGACCTTTTCAAAAGCTGGAAGGTGCAAATATTTTAAGTTTTCTAACGACAATGATCGCTCGTTTTAAGGCACATGGTATAGAAAAGTATTGAAAATGTTGTCAAACTTAACAGAGACATATCCTTGCTATAGGATGGAGGTTGATAGATGCATGCCAGATATAAGTTGTCCTCTTCTGTTGTCAGAGGTTCCTTCAAAGGGGGAGAGGGAGGTCTGTCATGGGATCAGACTAAGAGGTGCAAAGAGATGCCATGCAGGGAAATGGAAGGATAAGAGGAGGATACGAAGGAGGATACGAAGGAGGAGACGAAGGAGGAGACGAAGGTGGAGACGGAGGAGACGAAGGAGTCTTTCTGCTGACTCTAAGCTGACGGAGGGCTGACTGTGTGCAAAAAACAGACGTCACATCAGACAGAGGAGGAAGGTCAATACCCTACAGGACAAACCTGAGTTTCCTCTGTGCACAGAGGGAAATCAGCTATGTCTCCTTTTGGCCACACAGTCGTCTCGTGAACAGACAGCTCCTGGCTCCTGCAGGATTATCATGAACATGTGTCTTATTTCCTCAGACAGTATCTATTCAGGAAGTCAACTCCCTAACACTGAACAAAAACAACGCTGCAGCACAAGGTCATTACGTTAGACTGAGATAAAGAAGCATGTCGAGGGATGATTTGGCTGAGAGTAACAGTGTGAAAGGAGAGAGTGGATTTTAAGAGGAACTGAACACATTAAAGGGGTCATATTATACTTTTTCTGGTTGTATATGCTCTTTAGTGTGTTTTCCATGTGTCCTGTGCATGTTTAGGCACATCTTTGTGCAAAAATTCAAAGTCCGCAGAAACACGGCTTCTCCTACGTCCTCCTGTTAGCTGTAGCATTAGCTGCATGTAACACTCGGTTCTAGAACCCCTCGATAAAAATTTGTCAGTGTGTCGCCCATTGGCTTGTTGTGGCAAGCCCTGCAGCTTATGTTGAAATTTCCGAGACGCGTGCTGAGCAACTGACCAATAACGACAGAGCGGATTGGAAGACCAATCAGAGCAGGCTTGGCCCACGTGGGGTCTAACAGTGGGGGCTCAACAGAGCGTAGCTGACGGACATGAAAACAGACACTTTTTTCGGACTTTATCTATTGTGAACATACAAAAGTAGGTACATAGATTAAATATACGAACCCC